TTTTCAATCTTTTCAATTTTAAAGCTTTTAAAGCTTTCAAAACTTTCTATAGATTTTAAATAAACTTAGAATAGTATTTTTTTAAAAAAAATATAAATTTTGATAAATTTGAATGATTTTGTTGAAAATAAAATAAATTTACAATACTTTTACTATTTGAAGTTTACTATATAAATTTTCAACCAATATAATAATATGATTAATTCAAACAATAAAAATGGGGAAAAGCTCGGTTGCTTTTTGGTGTATTTTATAATACTTATATCGTCAACCTCTGTAGAAGGAGAAGGGTAGAATAAGGGAATGGGGGAATGGGGGAATAATACACTTAATTTAATAATCTATTTCCAAAACCTTAAATTTCAATACTTCATCAAAAACACCTAAATGTTAGATTTTCTAATTTCAATCTATAATATCTTTATCAATTGTAGTCTAATTCAATTGAAAATTTGATCAAATAATAGAGAATAATGAATTATATTATTCATATAATTTTTGATTGTTTTAAATTGTTATAAATTGTTATTAATCGAATTGGAAATTTCGAGACGAAAGTTCGAAAATAGCTTGAAAACATATTAATTTTCAATCTCAAAATCAAATTTAAATTTTATCTACTTTTAACTTTATAATTATTTATTCAATATATCTATAAAATTATTTATCAATTCCTTTAATAGAGATATTCATTATTCTAAAAAATTTATTTAATTTGAAGATATATTGATAAGTCTAGAAATAATTAAAATTAAATTTCAAAATTGATGAAGTAGAAAAAATCGCTTATTTTTTTGGAAACATATTATTAATTTGGGTATAGAATAATAGATCTGATCTGATCTGATCTGATCTGATCTTTAAAGTGTAGGATGAAATAGAAGGAGAAGTAAAGAGGAAAAAAGGAAAGGAATTTTGGAAAGGAAAGGAAAGTAATGAATTGAGTTGAGTTGAGTTGAGTTGAATAATGAATGATATGTATGATATGTATGAATATATATATATGAATAAATATATATAAATTTATACCTAAGTTTATATATATTTATAAATTACTAGCTACTCCTACTCCTAGTCTTAATCTAATATTAATATTAATATAGATACCTATCGAGAGATTATAATATTATATATATAATAAAGGTATTAGAGGTATTAGATATTAGATAGATATATTATTATACTGTAATAGGAAAATAAAGGAAAATATAAAAAATGAAATATCTAGTAAGTTCTTAGTTAGTGTATTAAATAAAAAAGAAAGAAAGAAAGAAAGAAAGAAAGAAAGAAAGAAAGAAAGAAAGAAAGAAAGGATTGAGTTTATAGTGTTTATATAGGAATTGGGGAGTTGAGGAGTTGAGGAGTTGAGGAGTTGAGGAGTGTGTGTAGATGGGTGGGTAGGTTGTATTAGATAAATAGACTTGTTAGTATTTAAGACTTACATTTTGATGTATAGGAGATAGGAGATGGGAGACAGGAGTTAAGAGATGGGAAATGAGAGTTGAGAGATGAAAAATGAGAGATGAAATTTAATACTTGGGATTTGATACTTGAGATTTGAAACTTGGGATTTGAAAGGTTGGGCGTTAGTAAGAGGGGGGGGATTATATTATCGAGGCTGTTTATTAATGAGGAGGGGGTTATTTTTTATACTAGTGTTGTATTGTATTATGTTATATTATATTATATAATCTCCGTACACTAGCCCACGCACAGTAGTAGATGTAGTGTAGTAGATGTAATGATTATACTATATATGATTGAGAGGGGGGGAGGAGGGGTATAGAATGATTAGAGGGGGATATGAAATAATAATAAGAATCTCTAATTTATACTCTTCTATTATACTCTCTTCTATTATATCTGGTGTACTCTCTTCAACTACAACTCTCTAATTCAAAATCCAAAATTCAAAATTCTAATCTTTACTCGTACTCCGTAGATCCTTATTCCCTCATAAATTCTAGAGTATGAACAAGGAGAAATATTCATTCATCCATCCATCCATCCATCCATCCATCTTCCCTCCCCAATACCCACCCACCTATCTAGTCTAGATAGCCTCTAGATATACTCACTGATACGAGTAGCCCTGGAGTATCATCTAGGTAGTAACAACAACTCCGATGACATCGAAACCCTCAAAAATGGAGTTGATTACTATAAGGTTAGTACCTACCTAGGTATATCATAGATTTCCTGGACCGGTATTTGTAGATTATACTGTAGATTATACTGTACTGTAGATCATATGATCCGAGTGAGACTTTTACTGTTGGTGCATAGATACCTAGGTATTCATGATTGGTATGGATGTTCTAAGTCTAAGGTGTCGAGGGTGTTTAGATTACTTGCTTGTGGCGTGCAGTGTAGTGAGTGCAGTGGTGTGCAGTGCTGTGGTGCTGAGGACCTTGGGAGATGGAGATGGATGGATGGATGGATGAATGGATGCTTTTAGGAGGTAGGCTGTAGGGTATCGTAGGTACTTGGTAAATACTTAGTAAATATGCAGGATATTCGGCGTGGCGGGGTTGGATTATTATCCGTTGGTAGATACGGACTCGAGACGGAGTAGATGGTTTGGAGGGTTGATTGAATTCATTTGATTTGATTTGGCGGATGGATTGATGGATTGATTGAATCAAAAGGGAGAGGAAGTAGAATTAATTCTACAATTACCGGTATTAAATTTATATAGGTAGGTAGGTATCTTATCAAATCATATCATATCATATCAAACAAATCAAACAAATTAAACGCATCATTACCTAAACCAGTAGTGGTACCTACCATACAATACTCGTGTTCTGGAAATAGAATGACGGAGTACAGAGGAAGATGATTGAATACTCCGTACGAGTAGTTTCATGTGGGAAGAGTAAGATGATTGAGATTGGTTGGGAGAGGGAGTTGGAAATGTTTTGAGGGATGAGGATGAGGATGATTGATGATTGATAATTGAAATATCACCTAATAACCTATCAGTGGGTTCAGAAAAAGGCCAAGGAATATGAAAAGTGTACGGAGCTTGGTGAGATGTGAGGATGTGAGGATGTGAGGATGTTGTAACGAACGAGTGGTCGAAATACGAGTTGAGGTTATGAGACATGTGAAATTGGGATGGGGAGATGGATGGGGGGTTGATAGGGGAGGAGGGGAGGATAGAGAGATTGATGGAGATGGTGATGAAATGAAGATGTAGAATTTGAAAGAATGAATTAAAATTATCTAGAAGAGAGGAACACCAGAAGAAAAAGAGAGAAAGAGAGAAAGAAAGAAAGATTTCAATCAATACTTTGTATTTGATATAAAGTACCCTCTCCCTCTGTACTTATCTCCATCCTTTGCCTCCTTTAAAGGATGAATGGAACCCCAACTGAGACCTCTTTGAAGAATACTAGGTACCTACTTAAATTAGCAATTTTATCAGTCTATCGTAGATGAGATGAGGTAACGTCTCTCATCGATATCATCAAGATATACAAGATATTCATCAATCAATAATTCAAGAATGATATCTGTCGAGAGATCTGATCAATATATATAGAGAAGAGAAGAGTACTGATGATTTATATGTTGAATATTGAACATTGGAAACTTGTTGAGAAATTCTATATATAGATTTACTTAGACATGTATTGTAGTAAAGGTTATAAAGTATACTAGACTAGATATGCTAGGTGAGGTAACTACCTCAACTACCTCGTACTTATGCAAGTCACAGAAAGTCCGAGGAAGAGCTATTTTGGTTAGTTGTTGGTAGTGTTGGTAGTGTTGGTAGTGTTGGTAGTGTTGGTAGTGTTGGTAGTGTTGGTAGTGTTGGCTTATGGAGGAGAGAAGGGGAACCCTTTCTAATATTACTAGGTAGATAGGTCGATACCCTTTGAACTTTACGAGCCTTATTACTTAGGCAATATTTCACTCTTTTCACTCTTCAAAATACTAGGTAACCTTTCATTTCAATCTTCACTGGTCACATTTTGATTACCTTTCATTCTTTACTTTCCATCTTCACTCTTCACTTCTCAAACCTTAACCCTTAAATAACCTTTCACCTTTCACCTTTCACCTTTCACCCTTCACTCTCAATCTTCACCCTTCACCCTTAATCATTGATTGACCTTCTTTAAACCTTCTTCCATCAATGCAATGCCAATGCCAGTGCCACTGCCACACCACACCCACACCACACCCACATCATTCCATTACATGATCCCAACCTAGGATACGGTACCTTGATCTGCCCTCCAATGAAATTCCATCATTTTTGATTTTTCTCCACTTTTCTCTTTTGAGTTTTGGTTCTCGAATCCATCATTCGGTCATCTGTATCTCCATCTGCATCTGTATGTGTGTGTGCACTGTGTTTGTGTTTGTCTTGTGTGTCTTGCTTGTTTTTTTCTTTCGTTTTTTGCCTGAGCCTTGAGCCTTGAGCCTTGAGCCGTGGATTGAACCCACATCAGACCCTTCCTATGTAACCTTCCTAGTAGCATTAAACAAAATTTATTCTCTTTCTCTCTTTCATATTCATTCATCCCTCCCTCATTTCCATTTCCATTTTCATTTCCATTTCCATTTCCATCCCCATTCCCCTCGTTCCAAATTATCAACGGTACTTTCGTTAAGATCAACAATAAATCAATAATCTAAAACACTAAGATTATTCTCTTCCTATTTTACGAAATATTCAACGGCAAATCACATTCACATCCACATCATCCACATCCATACTCACACACACACACACACTCACATCACACTCACATTCACACTCTCGCTCATACCGATTACCCAAAAATCAAACTTTCTTCATCTATTTGCGACATTTCCACCCCATTCTGCCAAGTTTACCAATCAATCAGTAACAAGACTTTAAACATACCATCCATCACACAAAAACCTATTCCAGAGACGGAACACAATTTTCTTTTCATTCCTCCATCTACCTCAACAAAATCTTTCGTTTGACACCTGGGAATAACGATCGATCTTCTCACACAATGTATTCCCGGTCATTAAGATTATTGTCAGTATTGGCAATCATCTTCGCCATTGCTCAAGCCGGTTGGATTGATCGTGGCGTCTTTAATCGACGAGCAGATAGTACTGGCGCCTTGACATCAGGAGGTGGAAGTAGTGCTGCCACCAGTGCCGGAGGAAGCGGAGCAGATACAGATACTACCACTTCAGCAGCACCAACAACATCTGCCACTCCAACCACTTCAGCAGAGAAAACAAGTGAAACTTCAGCCACTACCTCAGCAGCACCCACAACTCCAACAACCACATCAGCAGCCCCTACAACTGCAGCTCCTACAACTTCTGCAGCAACCACTCCCGTATCTGTTCCTGAAACGACATCTTCAGCAACCACACCAGCCCAAACCACTGCTGCTCAAACTACCGAAGATGCTCAAACTACTCAGACATCCGCCACTAAAACATCTAGCACCAAGAGTAGCAAGTCTTCTACATCTTCATCATCAACCGTTCCATCTACCACTTTCTCTGAAGTCACCATTACCCCATCCGCAACTCAAGTCGTCGTAACCGTCATTTCAACATCTAGTGGAAGTACTATTACCTCGGAATACACTACCTCTACTACTCCTGCCGCCTACACCACGACAACCGCTGTTCCCATTAGTGATTCTTCATCCTCCTCTTCCACGGGTATGTCAACCAAGACACGCAATACCGTCATTGGTGTCGTAGTTGGTATTGGTGGTGCCATTCTTCTCGGAGGATTATTCATCGTCGCATGGAGAATCTGGGGACGCAACAAGAAGGAAGATGAGAATGATGGATTGATGGGAGGTTACGATCCAGTATCTGCCGGTCACGAAATGAAGAATGAAGGTGGTGTTGCACCCAATCCTTTTCAAACTACTTTGGAAGGTTATCATCAACCTGGAAGAGGAAATGTTTCGGCAAACTTCTAAAAGATGATCTCCTGATTTTTTAGTTTTTGGGAGGACATTTTTTGTTTTTTGTTTTTCATTATGAAAAATCACTTCGCTGTATATGTCAGATGGATAAGGGTTTGCATTGCATTGCATGTATGTATGTATGCATGATGGATAGGAGATTGGAGTACATTGGCCAGCGAGTCAGAGATTATTCATCTCTTTTTTCTTTTTCTTTATCACATTTTGCAATGGGGTATCTAGGTGGTGTGATATAGTGGCATTTTAGATGGAATGGAATTCCTCACTGGTAAACACCAACACATCATTAGCATTTTTATAGTTTGAGTTTTTGAGTTTTTACAAAAAGCACTTGTATGCCTTCCATTCCTTTTTTTTTTACGGCCTGAAGTTATTACAGCGTTTATATATATTAATGGCATGGTGTTTTTTTTGTATGTTTTGGGGAATTGTAATTGGGGAATGAATGCATTGAGTGGATGGATGGATACCTTTGATGTATGTATGCGAGCGTGAATTCAGAGGGAGGGAAAGGAAGGGGAGAGAGAGAGGGGTGAGTGGTGAAAATAAAAGTAAGAGTAAGCGTTGAGGAAATTTGGTTGGATAGGAGATAGTTTGGTAGGTGGCTGATTAGGTAGATGGGAGATGAGGTAGATGGGAGATGAGGCAGATAGGAGATGAGTAGATAGGAGATGAAAAGAATACTTTTAATTTAATACGAATGAATGGTTTTTTGTACTGTGGTATTGTATTGTATTATATTATATAATATAGTATAGTATAGTATAGTAGAGTAATAGAGTATATTATAGTCTATATATTATAGTTTATATATCATAGTATATATTTTAAAGTTTATATATTATAGTAAATCTATATAGTATAATCTATATCTCAGAGTCTATATATCGCAGTAGAGTATAATATAATAGCTTAATATAGTATAATATATATCTCAGAGTCTATATATCGTAGTAGAGTATAATTCAATATCTTAATATAGTATAGTATAATATCTTAATATAGTATAATTATAGTATAGTAACCTTATAGTATATCTAATATATATAGTATAGAAATATCGTTTTTAAGGGGGGAGGAGCGGGGAGGAGAGGAGGGAGAGGAGGAGGGGGAGGGAGGAGAGAGAGGAGAGGAGAGGGGAGAGGGAGAGGGGAGAGGGGAGAGGGGAGAGAGGAGGAGAGGGGAGGAGGAGAGAGGAGAGAGGAGGGAGAGGAGAGAAGGAGAGAGGAGAGAGGAGAGAGGAGGAGAGGGGAGGAGGAGGGGATGTATGTATGATATTTTGGGGGTGGATGGGTGGATTAGTAGGTAGGTGGATAGGTGGGTTAGGTAGATAGGTAGATAGGTAGGTAGATAGGTAGGTAGATAGGTGGGTAGGTAGGTAGGTAGGTAGATAGGTGGATAGGTAGGTAGTAAATACTTTTGATTGTATATGTGAGATGGAGATAAGGATTAGAAGGAGGAGGAGATGTGGAGGATGAGAAGGGATAGGGGATGAGGAGGAGATGTGGAGGATGGGGGATGAGAGGGGAGGAGGAGGATTAGGAAGGGAATGGGGGATGAGAGGGGATAGGAAAAGAATAAAAGAAAATGATGAGAGGATACGAGGGGATGAGATGGGGTATGCAGATGGAGATTGTATGAGGGGATAGATGGGGATATGAAGGTTTATGGTTTATGATTTATGATTTATGTTTATATTTATATTGTTTTATGTGAGGATGAGAGGATGAGAGGATTGGGAGATTGAAAGGATTGAGGGATTGAGAGGATTAGGGGATTAGGGGATTATAAATAGATATAAATGAGAATGAGAGTTTCTATATTCAAGTATATATAGGTATATAGGTATATAATGATTATTTGATAGATGATATAATATAATGAATTAATATATTGATATATAAGAGTTTTAGAATCTACTATTATATGTATAATATTTTTCTAATTAAAATTACAATTATTCAGCTTTTTATATTTTGATTATTTATAACTATATAAAACAAAATTGAATATGGTATTATAAAAGATTGAAAATTATTTAAATATTTAAAAAAATATATTATTATTTTTAGATACTTTTATAATAGTATTTTTGAGGGGTTAAAGTTGAAAATTCGAAAAATTTCGAAAAATTCGCTTATTTTATATGAGAAAAGCGTTACAAGTTAAAAATTCTGAACTTTTTCAATTAAAAGCTTATATAATTTTTCAACAAAAATATTTAAAAATAAACTCGAAATTTTTATATATAAATAACGATTTAAATTATTCATTATAAAGTTTTTATAAATTAATATTTATAATTGTATGAATTATATAAGAATTTAGTTTATATAAGAAAATATAAATTTTGTAAGGATTATATTATAAAACATTATACTGTGCGGTAAGTATGTTCGATAACTCTTATATTGATATATATTGATAGAGATTATCAGGTATATATGAATATCTACCTAGTAGATATCTTGATATTTTTAGGTTGTATATAAGTAAGAAGGAGCAATAAATTTATATAATATAAATTATCCCCTAGGCTGTCAACTAGCGGCGCCGTGTATAGTCCGTATACTGAGCAAGAACATTAATAATCTTATAAATGGTATTATATATAAAAGTTTTAATATTATATTTGAAGTTTAGAATTTATTGAAAAAATGATAATAAATATATTAATTATATCTTCAAGGTTTTTTTATTGTGAAATAATGATTCTAAGATTTTATAAATATTATAATATTTTACTTTTGGGAATAGAAGATATTTGTAGGCAATTTCTATATGATTTATATTTAAAAATATATATCAAATCAAAAATTTAATATTTATTAAAAAAAGAAAGAGTAAATAAAAGATTATATAAAGATTTTCAAAGTATATTATTTGTTTTTATTAAAATTGTAAGTATTGAACTATTATTATAGAAAAACATATCAAAATGATAAGAATTCTCAAAATCCTGATGTTCTGATTGGTTAGTAAATATATATTAAGCGACGGCGCCGCTAGTTGACAGTCTAGGGGATATAATTGGTTTATCTACGAATTTGTATATTTATTAGGAATTCGCTTGATGATTTGTTTTTACTGTATTTATTTATTTATTCGTTTCTTTCTAATATCTATTATAGTTTTTTTTTCGAGCCTACCTCCTCGTAGAGCCTATCTAGTATTATTATTGATTGATTGATCGATTGATTGATCGATTGATTGATCGATTGATTGATCGATTGATTGATTGATTGATTGATCGATTCATCGATAATACGGAGGTTGAAGGCATAAGTTATATAAGCCTCATTTTTAATAAAAGTTGCTGTTTTATAAAATTCTAATACTGCTTTTATTAATTTTACTAGATATTCAATTATCCTTCCCAAAATTTCGAATTTTGATTCTTTTTATTCGAATTTTCAATTTTTTTAATTTTAAAGCTTTTAAAGCTTTCAAAGCTTTTTATAAATTCTAAATAAGCTTAGAATAATATTTCTGAAAAGAAAAATATAAATTTCAATAAATTTAAATAATTTTGTTAAAAATAAAATAAATTTATAATACTTTTATTATCTAAAGTTTACTATATAAATTTTCAATTAATATAATAATATAATTAATCCAAATAATAAAAATAAGGAAAAGCTCGATTGCTTTTTAGTATGTTTTACAATACTTACGCCATCAACCTCCGTAGTCCACCAGGTTCGAAAGATTGAAAGTTAGAGAGAAGAAATAGTTACTATGATTTACTATGATTTACTATACGTAGTGTACCATATCGTACTAGACAGAGTAAATTGAGTAATTAATAAGATTACTTTTATATGTAACGAGTGCAGTCGCATAAGTGTTTCGTACCTCGTATACGGAATGAGTTTTTCTGATGGGGGAGAGGAGAGTACGGGACGGAATGGGGAAGGGAGAGACGGCTGGTTAGGAGGGGTTGTGGTTGGATTTTGGAAGGGAGAGATGGATGCTGATTGGTTGTGTGGTGAGGTTGGCGGTCTCAGGTAAGAGGGATTGTTTGAGGTTTGAGGTTGAGGTTTGAGGTTGGGATTTGATGTTAGGGTTGGGATTGGGGTTGGGATTGGGGTTGGATCTTTACTGCACCAGCTGTGATGTATCTAGAGTCTGTGACCTTTCTTTGCTTTGCTTTGAGGGGTTTGCTTTGGGAGGGATGGATAATGTGGGTAAAGAAGAAGAAGGGAAGGAGAAGGGAAGGGGGTTGCTTGTAACTTGTTTGAGAATTCGAACTGAGCGGTTAATTTTTTGAGGAGGGGAGCTCAGGGAGGAGGAGAGGAGGGGATTGAATTGTTTTGTCTTGATTGTTTTGTTGATCTGGGAATTGATCGATTGTTTTTTATTTATTTTTATTGATTTATCTATTTATCGATTTGTAAACTGGAATCGGAATTGAAATTGAAATTGAAATATCTCAACGGCGCAATCGAAGTTTATCAATATCAATACCTATCAATATCAATATCTACGATTTCTTACAACCTGGGATTCGAGAGTTAGAGGGAGAGGAAGAGGAAGAGTGACGATTTGGGTATACTGATTTTCATTTTTGGGAGGGAATATAAATTTATAATTGGAGTTGAGTTGAGTTGAAGCAAGAGAAGGGAAGAGAAGGGATTGAATGAGTGAGTGAGTGAGAGCTTTGAGATTTTACAGAGGATTTCTCTAAGCTCTTATATCTATTTGTTCGTTTATTCGATTCATTCGATTGAATCGATAAAGTTCATCGAGATACGAATACAACCTTCCCTACAAACACAAACACGAAGAGAAAAGGGAGGAGAAGAAAAGAAATCATTCCGAGGTCCTGAGAAAATTCGAATCGAATCAAATCGAATTGATCACGCCGGCTCGAAATCAAAATCAAAATCGAAATCGAATATAATCGCCGTGCTCGCTGCATACGCACATTTGGGAAAATCTGCTGTTCTTGGACGTTGGATATATTAGATATCCATATATCTGAGAAGATAAGAATAAGAATACATCTCAACACATATCCGACATATACACCACAGGAATAAACACAACAGGAATAAACACAACACACCACACCACACCACAACACACGACGATGAAATTCAACCATCTAGCAAGTTTCAGCTTCGGTCTGTCGTGCAGCTTGATGCTGTTGTTGGGGGGGAGTGTGTATGCGGATGAGATGGGGAGTGGAAATGTGGATGTGGATGTGGATGCGAATCTGGAAGGAGAGTTTGCGAGGGAGTTTAGGGGGGTGTGGGGGAGGGCGTTGAGTAATTTGCAGGTATGTTGTTTTTGATTTTGATTTTGGTTTCAATCCTGGGAAGAGAGGAATACATGGAAAGGGAGTACTAGGTAGGTATGAGGAGGAGAAAAGAAGGAAAAAAGTGATATAAGAAAAACGAAAAACACAACATTTTATCGGAGCACCGAAAGTTCATATCTGCAAGCGCATGAATTAGATTTTCTTGGGAAATTGATATGTATTTGGGAATATACATATATGCGTATATATATAATTACTTACAGATGGTAACTGACATTTATTTTTTGGGGTTAGATTTTCACGGGCTCTATGGGTGGTGTGTCGGCGGATCCGGTATGTGATTTTTGGGTTTGAGGGGAGTGGGGATTTCTCTCTCTCTTTTTGTTTTTGTTTTTCTTTCATTTGTTAGGATGGGTTTTGGGGAGGGGGAGGGGGAGGGGGAGAGGGATGTGGTTGTGGTTGTGGTTGTAGAAATTTTCTTGTAGAAGATTGGGATGGAATAAGGAAATGGATGTTGAAATGGGCAAAGTGGAATGAGAGAGAAGTATTTACTGATTTGAATCTGGGGTAGATAACAAATTCCGGGGATCATGCGAGACCGTATATGGTTGCGGGAGATACTTTTGTGAGTTTTGATTTCTGATTTCTTTTCAAGGGGGAGATATCTATTTTGCTGATCTGGTGGTTGTGATGTTTGTTAATCTGGTCTTCTCTTTTTGCTCTATCTAATCCCTTCTCTCAATCATCCATCCACCTCCCCAAAAAGAAGAAAATACTAACACCCTCCCCTCTAGCCAGCATTCGCAGACGCCTATTCTCGCTCCTGCGCCAACCAAAACAACAAATGCGCCGACGCAGCTAATAATCCTGCAAAAGCCGCTGCGGATTTAAGTGTGGAGGGTTGTCAAACTCAGGAGTGTATGTTTATCCCTTCTAATTCTTCTTCTTCTTCCTCTTCTTCTTCAAAACATACATCATCGCATTTGGTGAAGAGACAAGCGGATTCTTCTCATGGGATTTGGGTAGGTAGGTTGTTTGGGGTTTTGAGGGGAGTGGTGTTATTTTTTCTGGGGAGTTTTGCGTTTGTGACTTTGTTTTTTGGGGGGTTTTTGGTGGGGGTTTGTTAGGGGTTTAGGGGAAGGATTGGAGGGAGAGGGGTTTGATGTTGGGTTTGTAGATTAGCGGTGGTGGCAATGATTGGATTGGATTGGGTTGTCAAGTTTACATGGGATAGATTTGTTAAAAGATAGACGAAGGGCTGGTTCCAAATCGTCGATGATAATGTTTACATAGGTACTAGAAGCGATATTGAGGAGATGAGAAAAGGGGGAACGAACACACAAAGTAGAGAGGGAGAAAGGGATCAGGAGGAAGAGAAGGCAAATGCTGTTGGAACCCAGGTCTACGGCGGATTGTATGAAGAGGATATGAGAGATGGGATATGCATGAAAGAAAGAATGAAAGAAAGAAAGAAAGCTAATTTCTTCCACAACCTCAGCATCGTGTTTAGCGGCGGGAGCAACGGCTACGCAGACGAACTTTCAGGTGCTCACGAGTTCGAATGCGGAGTTTGATTTTGTGTGTGATTCTTAGGGGTGAGTGGTGATGGGTGATGGGGGTTATTTGGTCTGGTGGTGGTGGTGGTGGTGGTGGATGAGGAGGGATTTGAGGAATGGGAGATGATGAGAAAGGGGGACAGAGGGACATGTGGATCGGAGAACTTGGAAGGGAAGTGAAGAAAGAATGAGGAGATGACATCTGGATATATTCGAAAAGACCGAGAGGCGAGAGGGAGGGAAGAAACCCCAAAACGATTCCAAAGAAGAAGAAGATTTGAAAATAACACACACTCGATGGAGTGATTATGATATAATGTTAAAGAATAGGAGGACATGGATGCGTTGGATATCAGATTGCTATCTATATTTATATCGTCAAATAAAGTTAAGATGTGGAGTTGGGGTATTATTATTATACTATCATACTATCATACTATCTATCTATTTCGTTTCATTTGAAGTATTCAGGCGTTCACAGCGTATACTTCAAAATCGACACAGTAAAGTATTTCCACATGATATCGAAATCAAGACTTTTCGAAAAGAAAAAAATCCCAATCGTGAAATTTATAGATCGTAGGTGTCATTTTGTCTTCTTTTATTGCATTTCATGACATTTTATTTTGTGGCTATCTTCGCTTTTTATTACCTACTAGGTAGGCTCGAGAGGTAGGTAGGTGGTACCTTATTCAATATCTCGATTCCCTTCTTTCCTTCCTTCCTTCCCCTCTCTCTAAATTATTCAATATATTCCATCTCCTGCACAAGCTATCTTAATAGATACCTATCTATCTACCTACCTAGTCTAGTATCCAATACTATTTATTAACAATAAACCCAACCGATGTAAACCCACGAGAATCTACTTCTAGATAAGTAAGTAAGTGAGTGAGTGTACAATGAATGCGTTTTCATTCGATAATACATATGGTTAGGGAGATTTGTCGCATCTCGTCGCTTTTTATTTCTAGGAGATGGATGACTCGTGGATTAGAGGATTGGGAGAGGAGGGGGTGGTGCGTGGTGCATTGCTGTGATGGGTGAGTCGTGGGAATTGGGTACACTAAGTTAATAAAGTGCAGATGCAGATGTAGAGTAAAGATTGGGAAATGAGAAATGAGAAATAACCTTGATAGGTGAGTTTGTGGATGGAGTATCTGGGTGATAAGTTTGTATGCATTTGGTGGTTTATAAGCTGGAGAAAAGATGGAGGTTAAAATTATGATATATTCATCATAGAATGAAGACCTAGTATTCACGTTGAAGTTTTTGTCAAATTGAAATAAAATATACATTTGCTCTGTAATTGAGAAAGTATATAAAAGTTTGTATTATTGTTATTAGTGCTAGTTTGCGGCTCTCTTCAAGGGTCGCGAGGGTAGTAAAGTATTCTCGTATTGTGTGGAGTAGGTTTCATTCATTGAGATAGTAAATATGATTGGTTCCTGGATTGAAGTTGAAAGAAAGCCCTTTGTATATACTATGTAGATACTATGCAGGTACTAATTGGCGATGAGTATAAAATACAAAGTCCTTGAGTAGACGATCAAGTATATTATAGGATTCATAGCCCAGGCGTATGCAATGGATAAATTTGAGATGCATGATTGTATTGACGACATCCTGCATACCCACCTAATGCTCGTATGAAATTCAACCAAGATTTCCAGATAGGCACTGGGCATAAATACCAATATTTCTCACCTAAAACACAAAGCTTTCTCTCCACTCGCTACGGAATCGAATACACAGAAACAGATAATCATCCGTCTCCTAGCAAACAACAGCTAACCTTCTACATATTAGTAAACCCTTCACAAATCAATCAGTCTCGTGTTTCCATTACACGATCAACATATGTATGTAATTCATCTGCACTTTTTCAAGCCACCTACGAAATATGCACTTTCTTCATCTCTCCCAAAGCCAGAAATCGATACATTTTAAGCGAAGGATGTAAAATATCTCCGTAGGCTACCATCCTCTAACCTCTAGCTTTTCCATTCTTTCTAGCCATCACTATTTTAGTATCCAAACGATCTCGTAGTCTCCGAGCCTCAACTTGACTAAGTTATTGCTCGTTTGCCTAGTACGTATTGAAGAATTAAGCAAAGCGGGTTCCTGTCGGACCTTTAACTTAAAAGAACGGAGTACTATACCTAGTGCTCGGATAAAATTTCCCGTGCCGAGTGTCAATGCTGCTTTTGCGAATGTGATTTAGGTGTAGCATGGCTATTTAAAGTTTTTATTATACTCGTACCGAAAATCTCAAAACGGATAAAACGGATGGAATATATGGAGTATAATTAATTTTGCGAAATTAACTACAAAGTACTAGGTAATTAAGCTTCGAATTTAAGTTGGATGGATGCCGGATTATGCGGAAGGTGGGGAAGGGATTTCGAGGTCATTAGTGGTTGATCGTTAGGCTTATTTTTGATTTGTTTTCGAGGTTCCAATTCACTTGTTTGTCATACGATCGTTTATCTTTCATCCATCCCAAAACAAATGATGAAGGAACATTTGATGGGATTGCTAGGTCCCTAGCATCATCACTGGGTCTGGAGGTTGGTTTTCTCGGGGATGAAGGAATGATTGGATGAAAGAGGAGACACGACGGATAAAGACACGAAAATGTCAGGTACGACCGTCCGCGGACGATTTTGTGACAGGGCTTGTATGCGGATGTGCGGCGCGGCGAGGTACAGGTACGCATGATTGGAGAAATCTGGATGGAGATGCAATATTGAATATTGATAGGGCCTGCGAAAGGTCGGAATCGTGAATGTGCTCGTGGAAATATATCACACGACGGGGCTGCCTAAACTACGCCGTTTTCGAGATGGAGTGCTGTATGTTGTGATGAGGTTACCTGGCTAGATGGGAGGAGGATGAATACTTGGTGGATTGATTGATTGATTGATTGATATATAAGCGAAAGGGAGAATTTTCTTTTATTCTGCTCTGTAATTTGAGAAATCTTAAGTTTCCAAGATTGATAGCACTTTTACTTTTACTTTTACTTGTAAATTGTCTAGCTTCTTGAAAAAGAAAGATCCATAACCAAATAACCACTCAATTCTCAAGAAATATACGCAAAGATACCAAAATGAAGTTCTCATACACTTCCATCCTCTTCGCTCTCGCAGCTCCTGCACTGGTCTCCGCAGACAAGACCAGTGTCGATGTGTATGTCTCCCTCCATAGCCTCTCGCGATCCCTTCCCTTCCCTTCCCCCTCCCCCTCCCCTCCCCCAAATTCCAAATCCCCAAACTAACACTTCCTCCCAGCGCATCCGTGATTTCCGAATTCTTCACCGCCACCCCCACACTCCCTGGCGGCGCTCTCTCCACCCTCGCCACGGCCCTCGCCTCTGTCGAGAACTCCTGGACTACCCAAGCCGCCTTCACATCCTTCATCGAAGCCGTCCATTCCGCAGCCCCATCCTCCGTCGCCAGCTCGATCAGCAAAAGCGGTTTTTACTACAATGAGATCGTCACTGCCGATTGGTTTACCAAGAAGGCTCCAAATGATGTGAAGAAGGCTGTCAGCACTTATATGAGCAATGTTGACAAGGTTGAGTCGAGTGTTTGGAGTAAGGTAGCAACTGAGACGAGTAAAGGTGCGGCGGCTGCGGCGACAGGTGTTCCTGCGGTTGGGGTTATGGGAGTTGCAGTTGCGGCTGGATTGGGAGTTGTGGGAATGATGTAGACTGATTCTTTGATGGTGTGAGATGAGAGGAAGGGAAGATATGATGCGATGCGCTTTATGAGATTATGATGCATGAGATGGATGTAATTCGTAGGGAGATATTCTGCTGGATGTTATGAGAATTCATTGAGATACCCTCTTGGGCTACCTTTACAAATGTACAATGCACTACTGTGCCTTGATACATACCCAGTTCATGTTGTGTCTGTTGATTGAAGGCAATGCTTTGGAACGACAGGAAGATAACACCGCTCCTAAATCTTTTAATGACGGTGACAAGAGACGATCGTAAAAAATATTCACAATTCAAAAGCACCACGAAACGATAAATGTATGTGACAAGTTCATTAAACTTTAAGTTATATCTCAACCAAGTGTGTGTATATTATGCCCATTCCACTCTCGAATACACAAGAAAAAAAGAGTGCTTCTCCTCCCAAAACCTCCACCGAATACCCGTTCGTCAATAGCGAACATTTAAAATCAAAAGTCTATATTGCGCGCTCTGTATCGTTTCCATCGTGTAAAATCCTTGCTCAGTCATCCCACCAAAGGGGTAATGTCCAAATACAATAATTCCGTCCAAGTCTGCACCATTTTATACAAAAAGAATATAAAAACGCCTCATTCGTGCACACAACATCCTCCCACCCTGCATGCATTTACACCATCCCATTTGCTCTGCACCCTTTGCGACAACCTCTAACCAAAAATAAAACGCAAGATAGCTCTAAGGCTTGCTAAGTTGCTCTTTTCTGAAGAATGTGAAAAATCCACCACAAATGACAAGTTGTAAAATCAACCCGATCCAAAACCATGCGTTTCCAAGACCCGCTGCCCCGTCACTGAAATCGGGGAAGACAGGTCCAGGTCCAACGTTGTTGGGTGCACATGCTCTGGCTACTATGGTAGCTATGGAACCCAAGACTTGAGCCGCAATGAGAGTGAAAGCAATGTGAACGCGAGTAAGAGTTTGGAGCAACAGCATACCGAATCCTACACCCTGAAGTGCATCGAGCATACCAAGCCAAAGCCACAATGATCGGGAGAAAATAGCGCTGGCAAGTCCGCTGCCGACCCATGGTACGTATTGTCCAATGGGGGTGCATGACCAGAGCATTTGACACCATCTAGGAGCTCCGAGACCAATGGCGAAAATGGGGAGAACCCAACTGTGATCTTTACTCAAGATGGCGAAGAACCAGAGGAAGGCTGACCACAAGAATCCAAAGAAGAAGATGATGAGAAGGACGATGGCCCATGTAGGAGCATGGTTGGAGGAGAAGAGATAAAGCCAGTTACGGCCATAGAGCGTCGAGAGGAAGAAATTCTGAATCAGGACAGTGACGAAAAACCACATGACAATCTTACGTCTGAAGAGCGAGGCGTAGAACGATGGGACTTTTCCAGGCGCTTGTCGATAATATTCTGGCAATCCGAGGAAAGTGACGAGACCAACCGCCCACATGAGGAACGCGATAGGAAGAACGACTGCAGCCATTTTGGGACTGGCAGTTGTGAAGGCAGTTCCGAGACCATCAGCTTGACGTCTGTTGAGATAAGATCCCCAGAACCAGAGAATGACGACATAAGCCTGTTGTGTTCCTTGAATGATACAGGCACGGAAAACCCAGGCTTTGACGGGAGATCCTCCTTCGTCTCCAAAATTCAAAGCGAAGAATATACTACCCGATGAAGCGGCAACAGCGTACAAACCAGTAGCCACGTTCTGGACCCAACCCTTGCCATCAGCGCCGGCAACGAAAGGAGCCATGCCGAGGAGGAAAAAGGCCAATCCGTAAAAGATGAATGGAATACTGAGGACGTAGATTGACTTGAAGAAGGAGAAGACTTCCCACCACATGATCGAGGTAACAAGATAGATAGTTGCTGTGATGTAAAGTTTCTCTGCAGTTTGACCCACAGTACCAGTAAGAAGAGTGATTTGATAAGAATTGGCTGCAATGATTTGACCGAAGGCGAGCAAGAATGAATAGACCGGCCAATCAAAGAAGCGGTATTGCATGACCAGACGGAGACCAGTGGGTGGTTTGTAATCTTTGCCAAGTAAGAATTGATCATTGGGAGCAGATCCGCCAGTGAGTGCCATGTTATCTTGACTAGAGTTTTGCCTGGAGTGGGTAATGGTATCGTTGGTAAAGCTATCCCGACTGTTGGATCGTCTACGGCTGTCGTGAGATCTTCGTCCGCTTCCAAGGGCAGAGAATGAAGGTGCAACTGAGCTTCTTCCTAATCGTGCATCACGGAATCTGTCGAACCATTTCTTTTCAGATTTCATCAAGTATTCCTCAATACACAATAGTCCTTCACTATTCTTTCCATCCAGACTATCAAGATTCTTGGCAAATTGCTGATAGTATTCTCCTTGAGTATCAGTGAAGAATGGATCGACCTTTTGAAGTTTGAAATCTGTCTTGTCACCGATGACCGAACTCAAACTAAGCATGGAAGCTCTGTTATTTTCACCACCGGCTCCAAATATCGATGGAGGAGGAAGCAAAGACTCGTGAGCTCCGGGTGTTCCTGGTGACTCCAAACCAGGGGAAGCAGGTATCGAGTGAGTGGAATAGATATTTGAGCCATCCTTGAGACGTGGCAACGACAATTCAGAGTCATTAATATGCAGACTACCAGTATTAGCACTTGGACTTCTCCGTGGAGAATCCAAGTATCCTGGTTGTGGTGCGAGGAATGCGCCTCCAGCAGGACTGGCAGATCGTCCTCTGTATTGCTCTTGTTGTCTTCGGGCTTCTAATTCTTCAGGGGTGAGTACGTATTCATCGTATATGTCGTCACGAACTCGGGCATCTTCATCATCGCTGTCTTCATCCACATCGGTCAGTCCTTCGTCATGTTTAACTTGACCACCCATTCCGATCGATGCGTTGCTACCATTGAATCTGTTCTTCATCACGCGATGACCTGGACCAGCTCTGTATCCCAAAGAAAGCTTTCGGTTAAGTCCACCTCCGGCTGGTGGCTGTTCAACACGGGTTGGGGAGGATGGCCTGGTAGAGCCACCAATGGTACTGGCAACATCAAGTTGTGAGGTACTAGCGAGACTGGTACCGAAACTCGACAATCTCTTAGCGGAAGAATAGAAAATGTTTCCTCCATCTCTTCCTCTAGATCTTGGTCTACCAGAATGTTTGGCCTCTTCCTTGTCGTGAATCTTGATTGCTTTACTTTGCAATGTCTCAAGATCATTGACCCATTGAGCGACTGGGAAACGTTGCTTGGCAGATCGTGCTCTCATTATTTGACGAGTTTCCAATTTGGACGCCAAGGCTTCCTTGATGGCTTGTTTGAATTGATGAAGCATATGGGTGGTGGTGGTAGATTCAACAGTGAACCACCAACCAGGCATTTGACCGAGACCACCAACACGAGCACCAATACCCAAAGCTCCCTTTCTACCAAACTCTACAGCGACAAGACCGAAAGGTTCATCTCTAGATGGAATCAAGGCGAATTCGGCTCCCGAGAAAATGAATGGTGGAAGAGCAGTGAACTCAGGTTTACTGAAGACACGGCCCTTGTATTTTGTCATCATGACATCGAGTTTGAGAGCGGCAAATTTTCCATAAAGATCAATGACAGGACCAACGCAAATAAGTTGAACATTGGGGTTCTCCTCCAAAACAGCAGGCATAACATCAGCAATCAAATCAATACCCTTTTGCATGGACCATCTACCGACGAAAACCAAGAGCTCAGCTTTAGGATTTTGTTCAAGACCAGCCCATTCCTGTGCTTGTCTTTTGAGTTCGCCTCTTTGACTTTCAAAGTCCTGGTTGACAGTCGTCTTGGCCATTGAATCCTGAGTACCATTCCAGTCTCCAGTATCAGAAGGATCAGGATTAGGAAGATTACCGATCTTGCTCAATCCCCAGAAAATAGGATATCTTGCCCAGGAACGCTTTCCGTATTTCTTACTGACACCGACAGCACCGAAACCCTTTTGATGAATTCGAAGATAAGAACTTCCAGCGTGGAGCAAATTGAACACATCTCCGAATTGAACGTACTTGATGGCGACTTCTTCTGGAATATTGTAGACTTGACAGACTTCGCTTCTCTCCTTCTGGTTACGCATAGGCCATAAACCTTGGAACTCGGCGTTGTGGAGGGACAAACAACATGGAATTGTCTCTGGAAGAAGATGGACTGGTGCGACGGCTCCGTGGTAATCGTTAATGTGATACAAATCGACGGGGAAACGCTTGATAGTAAGAGCGATACATTGATTCCAAGCACTGTAGTAAACGGCCGAGTCCAAATCATCCATACGAGCTGGGTATGGCTCAGATTTAGATTGTGCTCTGAAAACTGGTGCATCGAGAAGAACGTAAGTGATGTTTCGTAGAGTATGGTACTGAACCTGAACAGTGTAGGAATTTCCAAGAATTGTGACATCCATAGGCTCAGCTTGCTGATCAATAGGATAATCGATACCGCCAACACAAGGAACGACCCAAATGAGATCTTGATGACCCAAATTCTTTCCCATCAATTGTGCCATGACACCGAGACCTCCAATCTTGATCTTGATAGCCCAATCCTCGATATCGTATTCCATAGTAGCAATAAGTACAGTTCGTCGTCCGGTAGCTGCAACATCAGCTTGAAGTCCAAGTTGTGTGGCGTTTTCGTGGAACATTGAGTGTAATCCTCCCATGACTGTCATTTCTTTCTCAGATTCGTCCTCTTTCTTTTCTCTCTTCAGCTTTCTGCGCAAGGCTAATGGGATATAGTTCTTTGCCTCCTTGACACCGACACTGTTGAGTTTGACAGCGTAGAAAGATTTCATGAACAGCCAGATACTGAGACCACCACTGAGAACGGGAACAATCCAGAAAAGGACAACCATCAACATTTGGTAGGAACGATTTCCGTAAGGGATTTGATAGTATCTGTAATTACCGTCGTCGATTGCAATTTTGTACCCAAGATATGGTGATGGTGGCACACGTGTAATGTTGATGAGCGCCGTGGACAGCGATGAGGGTGGCATACGGTCAAGAATATTATCACCGTCGATATCTCCCATAACGATAGTTTCATCAGGTTGTCCATCAGGATTCATACCCCAAACATTCACTTGCATGACTAGATATTGTTAGAATGCCTCAGTATATCGAATGAAAATACAACTTACCAGCTGGCCATTCAGTCATGAACTTGTATTCCCAGAGACTGTCTTTCTTGTTCAAAGAGAAACCATTCTCGATACCAGTATCATAACCATACTGGTTGAATGGACCATTAGCGAACAAGTGCGGA